GAGGTTATTTATTTGTCAAAGAACCAGAGAACTTCAAAACCTCCTTGCCATTCTCTTTTTTCACCTTCAGAGTAAAATGCCCTGCTCTCCCACAACAATCACCACCACCAAGGAGGATGAATGAAGAATTCTTCTCTCCAATATAAAAATTACCAGTTAATAGGATTTAGAGCTAGAAGAGACCTTAGAGGTCATCTACTCCCATCCTCTCATTTTACAGATGAGGAAACGCAGGCCTAAAGAGGTAAAAGGACCACTCACAGTCACCCAAGCAGTAAATAGCAGATCTGGGATCCAAAGTCACATCCTCTGACTCCAGATCCAGGAAGGAAGAATTTTTACAAGATTTTCATTTCTCCCTCTAGGCCTTGCTTTCAGTTCTATAGGCAGGACAAACCTTGAGCAGACACCTGGCTTTTAATTCTGTGACCTTTTCTCTTACAAAGTTCCTCAAGCAGGACCCTTTGTCAAGTCACTGCAACAAAACTCAGTTCAAAATAAGAAGTAAAAAAAAATCACTGCTTCCCTAAGATATAACCTAGCCTTGGTTTTATAGGCCACTAAAAGGCACTCAGCTTTGGTCACTGGTAAGTTGTAGGCAGATAATCTTCCATGAGGAACCACGGGGGTTAATGGCAGGAAGCCCAAACAGTTGTCAAATGGGCAAGCCTGGGACATAAAGCATTATTCTAAAAGAAAAAAGCATCAGTTATTACCAACTGTCTCTTATTGCCCATTGCAGGAGCCTGTTTAGCAGGCAATTAAGAAAGATACTACTTCCTCTGTGCAACTGCCTAAGGAGTTTAAGTTGTTAACAGGGCTGGGTACTGAATGAATTGAAATATTCCTGTCTCTAAGGCCACAACCCTTGCTTGATTTACCACCCTCTCAATTCCTTTATAGTCACACTCAATGGCATTCTGACCCATCTACTGACAAAAGATCAAATATAGAACAAGCTATGGTACCTGGTTCCTCCAAAGCACATCTGCCCCATCAGCCGCGAGTCGCTGGTATCATACTCAAATTAATACCCAAATCCTTATTCCTCTTCTAATCTTTGTGCAGTGAAAAGGGAAATTTCTGGAATCCTTCCTAATTTACCAAGTTGCTTACAAAAGGAGAATTTTACTTCAAGGCTAGCTAAAAACTCCTCCGTTCTCATTTCCCTGCTTGCCACCCAAAGTCCACAGATTGTCTCAAAACAGCAGGAGGCGGAAATTTTTGTGCACAAAGAATGCGTGGGGGAGCAGCTAAGCGACCTTGAACAAGTCACTTTTCATGACTGGTTCTAGTTACTTCATCAATCAAAAGAAAAGGTTAGACTAGCATTGATGTCTAAGGTCAATTCCACCTCTGAGATCATCCAGGTCTATGCTTTCCCCCCTCCCTTATTATAGTGTTACTCTGTTAAAACAGCCAAATTTAAAGGCATTTTTTCCCATAAACTCACAAACTATGCTCAATTAGGACAGGAATAAGAGCTGAAAGGGACTTAGTTCAGTCCCCCAGTTTTATAGGTGAAGAAATCAAGGCAAAGGGAAGTTTGACACTTTCTGCAAGTCAGAGCTAATTCATGACAGAATTTTGACTATGACCTAGGCAACCTGGCTTTCAAGCCCAGAACAAAAGTTCTTCTCCCACTCTGGCATAAAGGAGCCCACCATCCAATCTTGTTTTGGTTTTGGTCCTTCTCCAAAGGTTTAGTAAGGTTGGATATCCTGAAGAGCAAAGAGAATAGTGCTAACATCTGGAAAACCCAGATGCTTGCTAAGGAGTTTAAGTAGATGGGTCAGAATGCCATTGAGTGTGACTCTAAAGGAATTGAGAGGGTGGTAAATCAAGCAAGGGTTGTGGCCTTAGAGACAGGAATATTTCAATTCATTCAGTACCCAGCCCTGTTAACAACTTAAACTCCTTAAAGCAAGAATCAGCAAGAGAAACCTACTGATGAATTAAAAGGCTAGTGAGAGTGAGAGTGAGTCTCAAAAAATCACCAAAAAGCTAGGAGCTACTAGAAATCTCAGAGCCCAGCTCATCTGACCTGGAATGAATAAGAAATCCTTCTGTAACATCACCAAAAATGGGTCTCTAAGAGTCGCTGCTTGATTACTTCCAATGAGAAGGTAATCCCTACCTCCCAAAGCATCCTTTTGCATTTTGGGATAGCTCTTATTTGGGGTGTGGGTTGTTTTGATTTTTTGAAACTGGTTCTCCCTGTCTCACCCAGGCTGGAAGTACAGAGGCAACTCTCTGACCTATTCCCAGTACTGATCTCTGATCTGCATGAAAAACTTTAACCTGCTCCATTTCTAACCCAGGCCCCTCCTTAGGCAGCCTCGAGGCCCCCATCTCCCCAAAGACTAGTGACATATTGGGGCCAAATTTAGTGCAGACATCCAATTGGTTCAGCCCTACTTCAACTCAGAACTCCCAAGCTCAAAGGATCCACCAGCCTCAGCCTCCCCAGTAGCAGGTATTACAGGCATTAGCCATCACAACCAGCAAAGCTCTAATTCTTAATAAAATTTTTCCTTATAGTGAGCCAAAATCTGGCTCTATGCAGCATTCACACGCTGCTACTACTTTCACTCTCTGAGGCCAAACAGAATAAGCAATTAATTCCTCTTGCATGTGACAGTCCTTCAAATGCCTGAAGAAAGTTATCATGCGCCTGCCCCATTCTTCAGCTGATCTACAAATGGCAGGCTTTCCAGCCCTCTTCAGTGGCTCTCAATTACGTCCAGTATCACACATAAAGTCTTTCATAATATGGCCCCCTCTTACCTTTCCAGTCGTCTAACACCTCACTCTCGTCCACATACTCTTCGATCTAATAAGACTGGCCTTGCTGCTCCTCAAACAAGACACTTCTCCCAATTCCTATTTTTAGTGGATGTGGAGAGAATTCCATACCTGCAGTTCTCTCCTTCCTTATCTTCATCTCCTGGCTTCCCTGAAGTCCCAACTAAAACCTCACCTTCTACAGAAAGTCTTTCCTGATCTAGTGCCTTTCCTCTGTTGATTTTTCCCCCAATTTTTCCTGTATATAGCTTGTTCGCACATAGTTATTTTCACATTGTCTCCCCCATTAAACTGTGAGTTCCTTGAGAGCAAAGATTTTCACAGTACCTGGCACACAGTAGGTACTTAACAAATATTTATTGACTGGCTTTTTTGTTTCTCTGTATCCTCACTGCTTAGGACAGTGCCTGGTAGATAGTAGGTGTTTAATAAATGCTTGTTGACTTGACTCTAATCATCATAGTCACTTTCTTCTGGATATGCTCCAGCTAGATCTTTCATAAAAGGTACCCAGAACTGAATGCAGTATCCAAGAGGTAGCCCAGCCAGGGGAGAATGCATTAGAATTCTCTTCTCCCTCATTCTGGATGGTATGCTTCATATTGACCCATGGAGCTGACAAGTCACTAAAACAAAGATTTTTTTTCCACAGAAAATACTACCTAGCCATGCCTTTCCCACTTATTATTTATGAAATTGATTTTTTGAAAATCCAAATGTTCTCTATATTATCCTTATTAAATTCTATTTCATTCAGTTTGACTCATTATTCTTGCTGGTAACCATTTCACAAATTCAGATAATATATTTTTAGCCATCTCCTGAAAGAAGCCTACCACAGGTATCTCCAGTACTTCAAGGGTAGATGACTTTGTCAATGTGGGAACATATTCTTTTGACTAAGTCACCACTACTTCATGACAACAACAACAATGTAGCTAGCATTTATACAACACTTTAAGGTTTTCAAAGTGCTTTACAAATTACCTCATTTTATCTTCACAACAGCCCAGGGAAGTAGATGCTATTATTATCCCCATTTTACAGATGAAGAAATTGAGGCTGTAAGAGTGTTAAGTGACTTTCTCAGACTCACAGCTTATATCTGAGGCAGGATTAGAACTGAGGTCTTCCTGATTTCAAGTTCAGCACTTATCTACTGTACCACCTACATGCCTCTTAAGAGACTTAATAGAGATTCTGAGAGTTGCTGTGTCTGAAAAATAAGTTATTCTGCAGCTCATCTTGGGATAAACCTTTCTAAACTTAGACTGACCATTTAATCCATTGCTAGGTCCATACTTAAACCCTTTGCACCCGTGGGCAAGCCTCGCCAGGATTTGTTGTCTATTGGCACAGCCTTCAAGGACACAAGTTCACCTTTATGCCACAAGGAGATATTAGTAGAACTTTAGTAGAAGTGTAATTTTTCTTAAGTTGCTGTATGACCTTGGGCAAGTCATCTGCCTGGGTCTCATTTCTTCATCTATAAAATAAAGGAGTTAGATAAGCTCCCTTTTAGCTTTAAGTCCTAAAAGTCTATAACAATAACTAATACGAGTAACATTTTCAGATTTGTAAAGTGCATGTTCATATCAAAACTTTCGAGGTAAATACATATTTATCCCTATTTTACAGGGAAGGAAACAGGTTCAGGGGCGGGGGGGGGGGGTGTGAAATGACTAGCTAATGGACACATGGCTATCAGCAAAATCAGGACTTAAACTCACGTACCCTAAGTTCAATGGCCTTCCCATCACATTCACAGTATTTAAATTCAAGTTATCTTTTACAAAAAAAGAAAACATTTAGAAATGACTTACTACTGAATGATCTGAAAAACAATCATAGGGTTCATAGATCACTAATGGGTCCGTGTAGTTTTCAGGTGAACCATGAACTTAGATGGAAAAAAAATACATCTTTATTTTTCTCTTCTCTAACTGAAATTTAGCATTTCCTTCAATCATTTTTAAAAACTACTCTAAGAAGTGATCCATAGGTATCATCAGACTGCCAAAGGGGTCCAAGATACACAAAAGGTCAAGAACCACTGATACAGGATAATGACCACAAGGAAAGATCTCCTGCAAAAAAAAAAGTTTTGTTTTGTAGCTATTTTAATGTCATTCCCCCATACATGCATCTGCACAAAAGAACAACTCTAAATCTGCCTTTGCATATATTTTACTTACCCAGGAGAGCATTGTGCCCATTATCATCTGATAGGAATCTTTTATCAACAGCACAAACTAGAAGGTGGTCTGGCAGATTGGGAGACTTTGCCCCAACGAGGAGAAAGCCTGAAGGTACTTCAATTGGTTCGTTAGAAATAGATACGAGCCGCAAGTCTTTTCCAGCTTGACAAAAACCTGGGAGGGACAAAGAAACATGACTAATACATATTTCCAACTGACTTTCATAAACCAAGCATTCACACAGATATCATGCCAAACTTGTTTTTCAGTAAACAAACAAAAGCCCTGCTTCCAATTTGCACGTATTTATATCAGGGATTCATGATTTTGTTGCTATGGCTGTTACAGATCAGAGCTCCTCCAGGCTTAGCAGAGAGATTCACCAGTTTCTAGGACCCATTCAATTGATCACCTGATAACCAAACTTCTGGTAATAGAGCTCTCCACATTTTGCTAGAGTGCCCTTCAGAAGACGCACACAATTTGTGAAAACGCCCAATTTCAGAGTCTTTCCAGATGGTTAAGACCTGCTCGTGCGTTTCACTTCACGAGCAAAACTTGAGAATCTAAAATAACAACAATAATAATAGCTAGCATTTATAGAGTACCAGCTATGTGCTAGGCACTGTGCTAAGTGCTTTACAAATATCTCATTTGATCCTCATAACAACCTTGGGCGTTGGTTGTTTTTAATCAATCAATCAATAAACATGTGACTGCCAGTCACTATGCTAAGCATTGGGGATACAAAAAGAGACAAAAGACAGTCCTTGCCCTAAAGGAGCTTACAATCCAGTGGAGGAGACAATATGCAAACAAATATATACAAAGCAAGCTACATGCAGGTTAAATAGGAGATAAGTAACAGTGGGAAGGCAGTGAAATTAAGAAGGGTTGGGGAAGGCTTCCTGTATAAGGTGGGATTTTAGCTGGGACTTAAAGAAGGCAGGGAAAGTCAACAGAAAGGTGGGAGAGTGTTCCAGGCATGGGGAGGACATCTAGAGAAAATTCCCAGACTCAAGAAATGGAGTGCCTTATGTTTGGAACAGCCAGAAGGCCAGTGTCACTGGACCTAAGAGCACATATTAGGGAGTAAGGTATAAGAAGACTGGGAAGGTAGGAGCGGGCCAGGTTAGGAAGGGTTCTGAATACCAAACAGAGCATTTCATATCTCCTCGTGGAGGAAATAGGAAGCCGTTGGAGTTTATTGGAGTGGGACAGGGGAGGGGGAGGGGGGGACCTGCTGGGCTGTGACATAATCAGACCTTTGTGACAGGAGAATGGACAAGTGGGGAGACACTTGAGAGAGGTAGACTCACCAACAGGTTCTTACAATAATCAAGGCGTAAGGTGATGAATGCCTGAACTAGTTGAAGAAACTGAAGTAAATAGATTGCTCAGGGTCACACAGCTAGTATGTGTCTAAGGCTGGATTTGAACTCAAGTCTTTCTGACTTCAGGTCTAGATCTCTATTCATTGAACCACCTAGCTGCCTCTATACCATCCGTATATCACCCTAGTGGAGCATCAGAGAACTTTATTGGAGGTAACTCATAAGACGTAAGGGATTTGGAGCTGAAAGAGAACTTAGAAATCATTCATTTAAACCTCTTTCTTATACAACTGAGGAAGAAGGAGGCCTAAAGACATGAAGCCAGAAGTTCCCGGGAATAGGTCAGGAAGGCTTGGGTTCAGATCCCAATTCTATTACACATGACCTGTGCAACCACTTTTAAGTGACTTCATCTCTCAGTTTCTATTCCTGAACCTATAAAGTTATTATTACTCAAGATACAGAGGTAGTAAAAATAAATAGATGAATGAATAAATAAATAAATAAAAAGATACAGAGGTAGTAAGAGAGGCAGATTTAAAGCAAAGTTGTCTAACTCCAAATCCCCTGCTCTACCCACTTTACCATAAAGCCTCTTAACATAATAGGCATTTAAATAAGAGATGTCATTCAAAAGTAATAAACACAAATTGTAGTAAACTCACTTACCCACAAAACCCTAAAGCTTAAATTATTAATTTTAATACTATTATTTACACTTTTTTTTTTAAAAATGGCAAGTCAACAAGTTAGGATATCTGGGATTTCTTTTGAAAATTGACTTCCCAGGGAGGTCCTGAACTCTATATACACTCAATATACTGTTTCACTATTTGTTGCTATGGCCTATTGAGAGTGATGGTAGTGAGAATCACTGCTCCCACACCTGAACTTCATCAAAGACATATTAGGTTCTCAGGCTGACATCCTGAGTGTGAATTCATTCTGAGTTTTCCAATAGAAATAATGTTTAAAACGTGAGGTACCCACAATAGCTGGAGAGCTCAAAGATTTATAAATTGCTTTCTTTATAACGCAGTGAGGGAAACAGTACACATCATTATAAGGTCTGTATCTATACTCACGTTGTAAATGGGGAAATTGAGAGATGGCAGAAGCATCACTATCAGTTTTGGTACTTTGACCAATTCAGTCATATAGGAGGGCAGGCAGTCCCCTAGGATTCTGCCAGGCCACTGAATGAGAGCAGCACTACTCCTACAAAACTGTGCAAAGGGAGAGAGCACTAATTGATAGCTTTCTATTTTGAGAAGTTATTTATTAGGTTCTAAGCTCAACTGCTTCTACCTGGAAGAAGGAACACAAATACTCTTAGTACCAGTGGACAGAGTACCAGGCTTGTAGTCAGTAAGACCTGAGTTCAAATGCAGCCTCAGACACTTACTAGTTGTGTAGCCCTGGACAATTCACTTAACCATGTTTGCCTCAGTTTCCCCATCTGTAAAATGAACTGGAGAAGGAAACAGCAAACCACCCCAGTCTCTTTGCTAAGAAAACCCCAAATGAGGTCACGAAGAATTGGACGCCACTGGAAATGACATAACAGGAACAAGAAATCCTCTAAATTTCAGTGTCCTTGGAGTAAAGCCCCCATACACCAGCCCTCGTTTTGGATCTAGTTAAATGCGTTGCCCCTGATCACATGGCTAGTAGGCACCAGTACCAAGACTCAAACCTGATGACTCCAAATACAGTATCCTTTCCATTCTGCCTGAGCTGGTTAGGCTATACAGTATTACTGATACTTTTATTCAGCTACATTACAAATTAAATGAGCTTGTGAGATAGCATGGGAAACTCACAATCATATATAACATTGTCCAAGTTCCAGTGTGCAAACTTTCAGCATACAGCATATTCTTAAGTTTAACTATTTGTGGATCTACTAAGGAAGATATGATTCTGTTTGCCACATGAAGCAATCTAGGCACCCAACATAGCTAGTTTTATGAGTCCTCACACCTTTCTTGCCCTTCACCCCTCTACACTCTTCACTGAACTTAAGATAATAGAAAGAGCACTGGATGCTTCTTCTGTATTCCTGGGCTCAAATGATACCTATGCTATGTACTAGTCTGTAGGATCCTGGGCAGATTACTTAACTTCCCCTGCCCTCAGTTCCCTTATCTATCAAATGGAGACATTGGACTACCTGATCTCTAAGGTCCTTTCCAACTGTAAAGCTGTGAACTGTCTGTGGTCCTTCTATCACATAGGCCAGGAGGCCATCTCCTGTTATGGCGGAATCAAAGGCATGCCTTCCCTATGGGAACTGAGAAAGATATAAAAGATAACAAAGAACACTAAAGAGGAGGAAAATCATAGTAATCTCTCATATTTATTTATCACTTCTTGGTTAAAAAGCACTTTCACAGAAATGACCTTATTTAATCTTCAGAATAGGCCTATGAGGTAGCCAGGGTATAAATTATTAATCCTTTCCCCAATACACTCATCATGTGACTTGGCCAAAGTCACAAAGCTAGCGAATGGCCAACCCAAGACTCAAAACCAAAAACTTCAAGTTCTTAAGTACAACTTTCTTTCCACTATACTACCCTGTCTTTCAGTATTTCTACCCTGTGCCACACTTTTGCCACTGGGTCTTTTTCCAAAGGTACCAATGGCCATGGCACTGCTGTCAAAATTATATGATAGTCCAGGACAAAAGGGTTCAGCCACCTTTTCTTCACTGTTTGGTTTAGCAAAAACAACAACAAGAACAACAACACTGGATTTAGAGTCAGAGGACCTGGATATGCATCCTGTCTTTGCCATTTACTAACTGTATAACCTTGAGCAAGTCTCTTGGAGTCTCAGTTTCTTCATCTGTAAAATGGGGGAAAATAGCACCTGTAAGACCTACACTTCACAGAGCATTTAGACTCAAATAAGCTCATGTGCATTACACTCTTCTGCAAACTTTAAAGCACTATGTAAATGTACCATATTATTTTTACTATAATTAAAATTTGGGGATTTGAACCCAGTGTTCTCTGAAAATCACTTCCAGCTCTAAGATCTATTACCTTAATAGCAAAAATAGCCCTTTCCCTTGCGATCCAGCAAAATCCTTACCATCTGTGGTACAGCATCCTTCAGGAGGAGGGTGCATCTGATAAAGGTTAAGGGGACTGCTTGACTCCAGTCCTTCCTCTTCCTCTTCTTCTTCATCTTCATTGTCCCCCCTGTTGCCTGCTAAAAGAAAAGAAATAAACATGGCAGGAGACAGTCAACATTCTGCAATGTTGCAAAAATAAGCTTTTTTTTCCTTGGCCTTTGTTTTCAACAAACCCAGTGGTAAAACCAGAGCTAAACTTGAAAATTACTTTACTTAACAAACATTTATGAAGTGCCTGATATATGTATAGGACTATGGTAGGTGCTGGGTGATTTACAAAATTTGGACGGAATAGGCCCTGACCTCATGAGCTTCCTAGTCCAGTATTGAGAAATCACAGGCTCAATAAAGCAACATAATTAATTGAGCAAATATTTATTCAATATGAACTATGTGAGAGACCTGATATGGGGTTCTGGGGATATGAAGATGAAAACTGATACCTTCTCTGTCCTCAAGGAGTTTACACTCCAGTAAGGGTATTGGAGATATGATACATAATTAAGTATAATATGAAAGTGGAATGTGATAGGGCAAGTAGATATCCAGCACAATGCTGTAGGAAAATGTGAGGTAAAGGAGATTACTTTGATCAGGTAAGGTTTCGTGGAAGTGGTGGGGTCTGGTATGAAGAAACAGGAGGATTTCAACAGAAAGGAAGAGGATCTGTATTCCTATCATAGAAGAAAGTCTGTGTGATCAGATGTAGGCAAAAGAAATAAAAATGCTGACAAAGGATTGTGGAGGGCCCTAAATGCCGGGCTAAGGAGTTTACATTTTATCCCATAGGCAACAGGGAGTCACTGAAAATTTCATCTCCCTTCTTACACAATTTCACATTCAGAAATCCATTCTTAAATATGTTTGTGCTCAGTTCTATATACATTGTAGATGCTCAAGAAGCACTTGCTAAATGATTTTTTTTCCATATGTACTTTAAATCATGTATTACAGCCTGATGCATCAATATGACCTTTTTAAAAGTTTTAACAGTTGGTTTAACAGTTGGTTCAAAATATATCTATGATTGAAGGTTTGGTTTTACTAGAATTTACCCTAACTCTGTGTCACCAAATAGGCCAATTTCTGCATGTAGATTGTCATTTTGTCTCCACCAAAAAAAAACCCTGCTTCCTCATCATGGCTTGGAGTTGACCTTGGCTTCTCCCAAATTGGGCCGGAAGAGCACAAGATCTGGAAGAAGCATGTTGAGGCAAGTCACTGTGTTTGCCATTCAAAGACTAGACTAGTCAGGTACAGAGAGGTTCATCCCCAAGAAGTTAGCTGTGCCACAAAACTTATTAAGCCACAACAACACATGATGACCATATACTAAGAGCACAGAGGGGTTGCTTTCTGTTTTCATGGGTAAAAAACTCACATGCATATAAAACTCATAGATCTTTAAAATAAGTATATTTCTTAATCATTATTCTAAGACTCTAAATCCAATGCTCTTTCTACTAAACCGTAAAAAGAACACTAGGTCAAGGTCTCAGTTTGAGCTTCATGAGTTCATTAGGTCTGTCTTGATCAAAGGTGTTGATTTAAAGTCTATTACACTAGCCAGTGTTTTGGCAAACATAGGGCTAGGAGGTTTGTGACCAACCACACCTGAATGGGGGAGGCAAGAATTCAGAACTAAAGAAATGAAGTCCATAGTAGTAGCCTCACAGTGGCCCCCCTGCCTGGCCCCTTTTGTTCTTGCCTCTCCCCATCTGTTAACAGGAAGAGCAGACCAAAGGGATCATGATGGGCAAAGAGTAAATGCAGCAAAAGTGTTTCAGACTCACACAGTCCTTACAGGTAAGCAAAAGTAGATTTGGTACAAGAAATGGGAATCAGAGGCATAAAATTCACCTAAGAGTATAGAGGGGCTAAAAGGATTTCCTAGCCCTAAGTCATATGACTGAGGCAAATGCATTGATCCTGCTGGGAAGAAGTGAGTTCAGAGTCAGATCAAATGCCTGTAGGCTGTAATCATCCATCTAGCTGGCTAGCCTGAGAAAGAAAGACAGAAGGAAAGAAAGAAAGAAAGAAAGAAAGAAAGAAAGAAAGAAAGAAAGAA